AGTTTTGCCTTTTCATTTTGTATACATTTTTAAAAAAAAATTAACATTTGAGCTTATTTCTTTGTTTACCCATTTGGCATTTTTCCATCTTTTTTGAATTACTGCAGCTTTCCATATGGACTTGAGAATGAAAGAAAATGGTGGTGTGTGCATAGGATATATGTTCTGTTGGGAGATTCTTCTATTGCAGTCTGTAGTTCTTCAACTAGTATTGCAGTGGGAGGAGCTGATTGTACTGTTACCGTCTACGATCCTCGCAGGTTGGTTACCATGTCAGGCATATTTCATCCATTAATGGCCATTTCTGTATCCCTACAAAGTTGTGAATGGTCGAGTTTAGATTTTATGGCATTAACAATGAAGAATCAAATGTCTTGATTCTTATAATATAACAGTGAAGCATAAAATACTTGTGATCATTAAGTCTTGTTGACGTCTGTAGGGATAGATGTCTGGGGATTGTTAGTAGTCTAAATGCTTCATAAATGTTTTTAATAATCAATACCAATTCAAAAGAAAAAAACTTGCCTTGTCTGGGGATTGTTAGTGGTCTGCATGTTGCTGTGTAACAAGGTTGGCAACTTGAGTAATTTGAAACCCAAATTATACTTGATTTAGAGTACACAACAAACTCAATCGCTGTAACTTAAAGTTATTACGATTCTTTCGTCATGAGTTTCATAGAATAGAAAGCCTATAGAATATGAGCTGCTTTTGGATAAAATAAATTGGTCCACTTTTTTGGTTCTTCAAATTATTCTAGACATTCTATGAATTACTGAGGAATTGTCTATTGGCCAATTAGATTGGCTTTTAAATTAATAGAACAAAGATGACATTTCTAGTGAATATTAGTTACTTAACATCCATCCACTTTTGAGAAGGGTGACATTTTTGTTGAATCATTCTTCGATGACTTAGTTCATTAGATCATGTATCACCACCACCACACACTACTACCACAATCACTGTTCTCCTCCTTCTCATCATTTGTTATTTATAAACAAATGCGTTCCTCTTCCATGTCCCCATCATTTAAAGCTCAATCCTTTTTCCATGAATAGCTAATCGTTTATTCATCCTAACTCGTCATCTTGTAAGTAATTTGTTGCTTGCATATGAAAGAGCTAAGGGAATTCATCTCTTCTGTAATCAACAGATTGAATTTGATAGATTTGCTGAAACGTACGTATGGTTCTAGTAGAGATCTTTTTCAAATTTTCGAAGTTTAGCATTAGTAGAGATCTTTTTCAAAATTTCAAGTTTTAGCATTCCTTGCAAATTAATTTGTATGCCATAAGCAAACTCAGTTCTAGATCTTTGTTGTGGACAAAAAATGTTCAGATATTCACAAGCCTCTCTTTGTTAGGCTGGCCAAAAGAGTTTTTGAATTGATCAAACTTTTGCAAGGCTCCTGACCTTATGAAATATTATCATGTGGGAAAAGCTAACAAGGATGGAGCTGTTTTTTGTGTTCTTTTTGGGAAATTTTGTTGTTGATTGTAGAAAGCGTCAATTGGTATGCATGTTAGATGTCCTAAGCACATTCAATTGGTTCTTTTGAAATTAAATATTTGTCTCGTTGTTGTGAAAGATCAAATATTGAAATCGACCTATCTGCCTGGTGAGGAGAAAGAGTTATCATGCTTTTATTAGATGATGAGAGCAAAGGACGAATTAGATGGAAAAAGAGAGTGATGTGACACATTAAGCAGCTATTGGAGAAACAAACAGAGAGATGTTTGTATATATGGTTCCTGGTACCTCTTTTGTATTGTAGTAAGATACCATTCAAACTTTAAGAGGTGAGGGGAAAAGAAATTTGATGAGGTTAATTTTCTTCAAGGAAGATCATTTGTTAATTGCATGTTTAAGCTATTGACTACACAATAGATCTACTGAAATGTGTCTCTGTCCTGTGATGCCATTGATGAAGTGTTGAACATGCACGTCAAAAGGAAAAACAGAAAGATAGAGAGATTGGTAATTCTTTACTCGACTTTGTGTTGTCTATGAAATTTCTTAGGTTTTTTCCCTACAGGGTAGTAACCAACCAAATACTTTGATTATTTGATTAAATCTCATTAATGTACCTGCAAATATACTCATTGTGTTGTGTGATGAAAAACTGTTGCATACTACAGATACGGATGAGATTTTGTTTAGGAATCATAGCATTGTTTGTTATTAGTAAGGAAAAAGTGTTACTGGACAGCATCTTTGTTAACTGTTGTTTTTATCACAATTAATGCCTTTTTTTTTCCTTCTTTAATTTGCTTTTCCCCTTTTTTTTGCATCTTTGTGCTTTTGTGTATCTGGGACAGCATCTTTTTTTGGGTAGGCATGGGACAGCATCTTTAAGCTTCTTTCATTGCAGGTACCTGGATCATAATCATTTACTGGGAGCATCCCGGATGCATTCTTAAGCACACTTTCTTGAAAGAAATGTGAGTTCTGTCTTCAATCAGTACAAGCAAATTGCAATTACCAACAACTATGTAAATGCTAATTGATTAAATGTTGTCACAGGTATATTGAAGGAAATGCTTTCCGGCCAGGTGTGAACCCTATTGGCGTCCACCATGTCCTTGAAGTTTCTGACACAGAGTTCTTGTTTTAGTCAAAGCTTCCACATATTATTTTACTCGTAGAATTGTTTCTTTTGTTCTTGCTAAAACTAGGGTGTTTCAGTTTGAATTGGAATGTAGTTCTATAATAGGATGTATATAATGTACACTAGTGTTTGGGAAATTTAAGAAATTTTGAAGTAGGTTGTTTGACAGTTTAGAAAGGTGTTGTTGGATTCTTTGGTTGTCATTATTTTTGTGAACAATGTCTGGTGGACACCATGGTGGGGATGTCTAGTGTTTTAGTTTGAATTGGAGCAATGTCTGGTTGTTTGACAGAAATTTAATAAATCGAATGTTTATATGAATTATGTATTGTGTCGAATGTTAATGATTCAGTTAATTTGAGTGATGCTTTAAAATTATAGGTTTATTATGGATTGAATAAATTATTAGGAATTACAAGTGTATTGTTTTCCTGCTTTGGCGACCAATTTATTAGTCGTGACAAATAAATAATTTTTTTCGCAAAAAATGACAATTGCCGACCAAGAGTTTTGGTCGCAAAAATACATCTATTGCCGACCAAAATAGCTCTTGGTCGTGGAAACTCACTTTTGCCGACCAAAAGTTTTGTCGCGAAAGTAACAAATGGCGACCAAAATCTTTTTGGTCGTGGAATGTCACGATTGGCGACAAACTTTTGGTCGCGGAATGTCATGATTGGCGACCAAATTTCCAAAATTTTTGGTCGCAGAATGGCACAATTGGCGACCAAACTTTTTGGTCGTTGAATGTGATAATTGGCGACCAAACTTTTTGGTCGGGAAAACATCACTTTTCGCGACCAAAATGTTTTAGCGACTAAATGAATTAGTCGCGGTAATGATATATTTCGCGACCAAAAATTTAGTCGGCAAATCTGACTTTTGCCGACCAACCAAAATTTTGGTCGCGAATTACTTTTGCCGACCCTCAATTGGCGACCAAAGTAGCGACCAAAAAATTTGGTCGCGGATAACTTTTGCCGACCAAAAATAGACTTTTAGCGACCAATTTTTTTGTTGCCAAAAGTGTTAATTCTTGTAGTGTAGGAATAGTTTTGTTTGTGATGCTTGGGATCTTGCCAAACATAAATGATTTTATTAACTCTTATTATCCTTCAATTAATAAAATAGCACTTCATGTTGTTTATCTTTCTGGTTAATGTTGGTTTGTTACCTTCATTGATTGTTATTTGTGTGTTACTTGGGTTTATGTAATTCATACTAAAAGTGAGTTTTTTTCTTACTTTAAAACCTTTCATAAAATCGTGACTAACCAATTTGATGCTAAAATCAAAATCTTTCGGAGTGGCAATGGGACCAAATATGTTGATGGTAATATTTGGGAATACCTTGAGGATAGTGGCATTCTTTTTCAAACCAGATGTGTAGGAACTCCCAAACAAAATGGAGTTGTTGAGCACAAAAACAATCATCTTCTTGAGGTTTTTGGCTCTCTCATATATACAATGAATGTTCCTAATTGTTTTTGGCGAGATGTTACTACTGCTACCCATCTTATTAATTGCATGCCCTTTTGTGTTCTTCAATTAAAAATTCCTCTAGAGTTGTATAGCGACCCTAATTTTCTTTAGTCATTATTTATTATTACTATGGTTATTATTATCTTATTTTATTTTTGACTTTATTAATTGTGTGGTCACATGAGAGTTAATGTGATATTTAATGGATTTAATGATGTAATTATTAATTGGATGGTTACATAAGGTTTAATGTGATATCTAAGGCATTTAATGTTGTAATTAATAAATTTTACTACATATTATAGTTTATTAAGCTATTATATATTGAGATTTAGGTTTATAGTATAATATTATTAAGTCATACTAGCTCTTAGGTTATTATATATATAATAACATAGAAGTATTCAACTAGGTTTAGGAGATAAAAAGGAAAAGAGAGAGACCAAGTTGTGAGAGAGAGAGAGAGAGAGAGAGAGAGAGAGAGAGAGAGAGAAATCAAAGAAGACAAAGGAAGGGGCGGCAGCAAGGAAAAAAGAGGAGAGGGAAGAAAAGGAAAGACTAGGGTTTGTTTTGGTGACTCTAGTAGTTTTCTAAATATTCTTTGATCTTCAATAAAGTATTGTGAGTACAAAACTCACTTCCCTTGATTTATGTTTAATTCTTGTTTTTATCTATTTGTTTGATATTAGTTTGATTTTGTGTTTACATAAAGATGATAGATTAATTTTAATTATTTTGACTAGTGGTGTATGTAAAGTTTAGGGTTCTTAGATAATTGACTGATTTTAATTATTTTGTTTAGTTGTGTATGTAAGGTTTAGGATTTTTATTGATTGAATTTAATTATTTTAATTAGTTGGGTATGTCAAACTTAGGATTTTTATATGGATTTATTTTATTATTGTAATCACACTCATGGTTATATGAAATTTAAAATTAATTAGGAACCCATAGATAAATTCCTTATACTCCACCATGACTCTATGGATTGTTGTTTTATTTGAGTGATGGTGAGAAAAAGTGTATAAAAAAAAAGGTGAGGATTATGAGATTTATTTGAATGCCTTAGGCTCGGCATTGTTATGTTTATTCTCATGTGTGAGATGTTGTGTATATATATATTGTTGCCTCGTTCTCATGAGTAGACGAGTGCTTTGATTTGCGCGCGTAGGTATATGCTAACCATCCGGGGAGTGTGAGTCAAACTCGGGACGATATCCCCGTATAAGTTTGGCTTCGGAGCGGTGTTAAAAATACAGGAGGCACGTGGGATATATGTGTAGGCCGGAAGGGGAGGGCCGAAATGGTGGAGTTAAGGTACAAAAATTTAATTATAAGTTTATTGATTTGTACATCTTGAAAAATAATAATCGACCTCAATAAATTATGAAATTTGAGCAGAGGCATGTATACGTGATTTTGGACAACTTTTGTGTTGTAGCTTTTTATTAAAAAGATTGATTAGAACTTATAATCAGATGACCTTGGTTATTGTCGGTTTGATTCATTTTGGTAATGCAGATTTTATAGGCTGTTTTAAGCCACGAAACGAGCTCATTTTTATTGGTTTCGTGTAAACTGAAGTAAAACATTATTTTGTACACTTTTCATGTTTTGAAATTTTTCGAAAAAAATCATCTTAGGGAAGTTTTTGTTCGTTTTCAGCTTTAGATTTTTCGATTGAATTTCGAATAGATTTTTAGATCAAGTTTTTCTCTTAACCTGTTCAATTTATGTTAAATTCGTTCGCGTCGTCTGTTAGAAAATTTGATTCTGTACAACTTTCGTTCTTTGAGTTTTGGTCAATTCAAATTATTTAAGCAGGAAACGGTGCATTTTTAGACTTATTCAGCGAGTTGCTTATGATTAAATTATACTAACTTTATTTTTTTTGCAGGATGGTGGGTCTTACTAACTTTTTATGTAGGGCTGACCCACCATATTTTTATTTCTATTTTGTCTATTTTATAATCAATTTATATTTTGTTGTGTACGGACAAGAAACTAAATGCCACCGTATCTCAAGAAACTACCCATTCGTCTCGGTACGGTTGGAACTACTTGTCTTGTTCCGTAACAAGAAATAATGTACTTTTTGTTTGTGTCTGGTGGACACGTGGGTGTCAATTCTTGTACTCATACCAGTATACCAGTATACTGACCCGTTTTGTCTCTTGGCAACTCGGATGCGTTCTGTTTGAGCGCAGCTGAGCTTCCTTTGTAGGATTAGTTGGGGCTACGGTGGTGACGTGAATTTACGATAGTGTTGGACCTGTCGTTTGGACTTCTTTCGTTTTATTGAGCTTAGGATTGATATTAGTCTATATATCTATTATTCTCTTTATGACTTTAGTATTGGAATAATTTAGAATGGTTTGTAACCGTACATTATTTAAGTTATTGTTACTTTAATGTTGAGGTATTGGTTAGTTATGGAATTATGGTGGATGTTTTGGTTGGCCTTTAGTTTTTGTTTCGCCTTTAAGATTTGGATGATGGAATGTTATTGGGGTTTAGTCTTAATTTAATATTTAATTGTCCGAATTTTGGGGCGTGACAAGTTGCTTCTCATTTCTTCTATTCAGCACAAAATCTTTGGGTGTCTGTTTTGTCCATATTCACTATTATAGGAAACGTTTTGAGGTGTGTCTTTGTGGGCTATTCTGCCACTCAAAAAAGCTACAAATTTTATAATCTTCAATTCCATAATGTATATGTTAGTATGGATGTTACCTGCTAGCTCTTTAGTTCTGTATATCTTCAAAAGGAAGAGCAATACTAAGGAAGAGATAAACTTCTTATCAGCGAGAGCTACTTTTCTCCTTCCTATTTAGAGGGCTATTATTTGTGGCGAAGGAGAAGAAGAGATATGTGTTAAGGGTGTGGGTAGGTGAGGCTAGAGGTGATCGGTTGTGGATCTCTGGGAATATGGCGGGCACTTCAATGGCTCGAGATCACCAGAGGTGAATGAGGAGAAGACCAAAGTAGGCTTAGAGATAGAGAGAGTAGCGGTAAGAGACCTTAAACATTTAGGGTTTATGTGTTGTTGTGTGATTGTTAGATGTGTTGTTACTGCATACATGATATATTATAAAGGCTCCCGGAGTATTGGAGCCCAAGCAAGGGAAAGGCAAAGGGGGGAGAAAGGTTTGTGTGAGGGAGATATTGCTGAAGGGAAGGCTTCACGTCATGGAAATGAGTGTGAAGGAAGAGTTGCACAAAGGAGGATCTACATGAAGGAGGCATTGGCGAAGGGGGTTGAGAAGGAGGAGTGACAGAGTGAGAAAGCAAGCAAAGTGAGGGCTAGTGGTGCTGCCGAGGCTGCTGCCCAAGTACTTTATTTTTTTTAATTTTATAATAACCCATTGTTCCCTCATTTGATGATAAGTTTCAACATTTTGGTCATGAATTTGTTTTCCCACGTTTGTAGCAAAAAGTTGTCAAAAGGGTTTGCTCTTTCAGCAACCATGCACTAACCTTACATCCTAAATTTCGTTGACGTGAGGTTGCCTGAGGTATAATCCATACCTCTTCTCTGACTACTTAAA